AACTGGGGTTCATTACTATGTCTACTCCTGATCTCGACAGTGGAGCTGTATGGTGGTGATTGCAAGGTAGCTGTTGCCGTGCCATGCTACGAGAGTAGAAGTTGAGGTAACAGGAGTTGGTTAGGCAGGATGGGTGGGTGTGGGTTGTATGCATTATTTGGCGAGCATATGCCGTGGCCGCAGGAATGGCGGTGGTGGTCGTGGTAGTGTAGCCAGGTTCTGGGGTCGTCCCGTACTACTGTACGTCCTCCTAAGCGTACGATTCGTACGCTTAGGAGGATGAATCGAGTGCGCAAGCTCCAACGTAGCGGTGGCGTGGTAGTCACGGCATACCAACGCACCTTTACCGGTAATTTTACTCATCGTAAAACAACTAACGTTACAGTAGGAATTATGGGTGCCAAGTTTATTCAAGTTTGTTTGCCCATTTCAAACGGGCAAACAACTTGAATAAGGTTTTACAGTAAATAACGACATCCCATAACATGAAAGGTCCGACCGTGAAGTGGTCATTTATAGATAGCCTGTGTCCGAATTATCCTATTTAGGGCTATAACTAGGACAGTAGGGGGGCTCCTCGGCCTGGTTCGCTTCGCTCCCGGCTTCCGGTGCTCCCAACCTTTCGATAGATCATTCCTGTTATATTGAGTCGACTCGCGGGCGAACGGGCCTAAGCTCGCTCCTAAGCGTTCTGGATATAGAATATTGTATGTACTTGTATAGGGATATTATCAGATATACCCATAACTCCTAGTCCTAATTTCAATTATTGCGATCAACCTCCGACCCCTCTGATTGGTCGGAGGTGGTCGGAGGCGGTCGGACCTTTCGCATTATTCATCCATAATTCCTAGCCAATTAAGCGCTGCTTGATAAGATTATTGTAGAATGTTGAATAAGTCAATGAAATACCTCATCCGTAAAATGACATTTTTAAGGTAGATTTCCAATTTAAGAGACAAATTTTGGAGTCGCTGCCGGGAAATGGAAGCAGCTGGCACTGAGGAATTGGTGTCGACTTCTGAAAACTGATAATTGAACAGGAAACACAGGTCTTTCCAATAAGCACTGAAACATCTATTTTCACAGTATCTATCATGTCATAATATCCCATTTTCTAAGCAAAAACGCATCCAAAGTAGCGGACAATTTAAGAGACGTATTTTAAGCTTGATCTTAGTATTTATCCATGCATATATTTTTTGTGGTTAGGTATAGTATTCTGTCAGGTACATATGCAACCATAAAAGGTTATGTATTTATAGAGCCATTGATTTATATAACATTAAAACACATGGGAACAAGAAGAACATTTATTTAAAGAGGTATGTGTACACAAATTTCAAGGTGGGTAGGTCCGATGTCCCTGAAATTGTCCCATGTCTCTTAACAGTAAATTGGAAATCTACGTTACTAGTAGGGCCACCCTAGCTGCCACAAAAAATGTCAGAAAACACCTACTTTTGCAACTTTTCAGAAATATTTTGACAATTTTTCAAGCGACAACTTTTGTGTGTTTGGCTACCAAATCTAACATATATTAAGTGACATAATACGTAGAGTTTTGACTGCTTTCGGACAGAAAAAAGTTTGAACTGCAACTGTCCATTTTTTATCAGCATGATATTCTATCAATACAGTAGTTCCCATTCCATCATGTCATCCAGAGGTCACATCAAAATAATTTGAAAATATTTTCTCGCCTCTCATTTGAAAAGGGAATTCTCTGTCAGAATGTTATTTGACCTAAAATTTCTGTGGCATCCAGGCTCGGCCTTACAGTTAACCCAATCTTAGAATGAATTTTTTTTAAAGGAGAGTTTTAGCCAAGGAGCGCAAGACAAACTATGTTTAAAACATGGTCAAGACGAATGAATGAACCGAGGACAGCGGTGCGAGCTAGCCCGGGTGTTTGGGAGACGATGCGCTTCCGGAGGGGTCCTTTTTCATGCTCTGGTGCACTGTATACTGCTTGATGATGGAGATGTTCCAAGACGCTACAATGAGATAATGACGTTTGTTGATATTAGCTTCCTGATTAGCTGTTTTGCGTATATCAAATTGATCCTCACACTACAGAGTGCACTGTATCAGTGTACTCGAGTAATCAAATATAGGCGTACAGAAATTATTCGGAAGCACAGTGAAAATTGAGCATCATTCCTGATTGATTTTGACCATAACTTCTAAGATAAACTAATTAGGACCCACTAAGCATTAAAATCGGATTTCTATAGTGAAATTCTCTATCTGGAAGTATACCCATTGTCAAGGCAATAACCTATTTTGCTGAGATACAGTTGTTCAAGGCTCGACAAAGTGAACCTATCAATCATTTCCAATCGTAGGTAAGGTGATTCATGTAATTCCCGGCCAGCTTGGCCTACTTTCTGCGTGCCATAACTCGTCACCCATTCATCCGATGAGGCTGCGAAAACACGCATTTTGAAGATCGTGACGAGCTTTATAACTTTATGCAGGTCCCATCATTTGTATCACATGGTCAATTTGCTCGTCGAATTTCTAAAATTGAAATTTCCCTGTGTGAATTTAATTCCCGGCCAGTGAATAATACTACGTATATACTTGAGTGACAAAATCCCCAGAACCTCTTAATAATGATATGTATAAAGTATTCAAGTAATTAAATTTAGAAATGCAACTAATATAAAAACTGTATTACACGGAGAAGTAGAATATTAAATCTTACAAGTATGTGATACAAGAGTAACGTAGGGCACCAGTCATCGGCAAAGACACCAGTCATCGGCACTGTTCTAAGCCAATAGAAATGCCTGAATACCTCTTATTGGTCAAAATGTAGTTCTTCAAGAATTAGTGCCCCTTATAAATTAGAGGTTGAACCTGTCAATTTTGTGTTGATCATACAGAAATCGTTACTGTAGCCCATTCTAAACACATATTCCTTTGATAGCTAATATGATGACAGCATCCCGCGAACTAGAGCGTGGGGGATTCAATACATTACACAAGTCTAAATCGTTGCCGATGACTGATGCCCTACAAAAAACGCTACTTTTGAAAATCCTTACTGCACCTGTTTACTATTGAAATTGATATCCTTGGAATAGTCGAAAGACAAGGCATTTTTTTGTACTAGTAGTCTTTAGTTGAAATGCACCATACTAGTAATATAGCAAATGCGCAAAAGTCCCAGGACCAACATACTACTAGTACGTAGGAATTGAATCGTTACTCGGAATTACATGCAACAGTATCACATGGCACATTACAAGAGCGGCTTCACTTTGTCGTACAGTCTGTCGTATGTGACATTGTCGTTGAAGTCGACGAAAATGCCGTTGATAAAGATCGCTGGCGTTCCGTACACGCCCCGCGTGCCTCCGTACTTGAAGTCCCAGCGCACTTCGAGGTTGCGCTGGCGATTGGCAAGGCCGGCATCGATTACGCTGCCCTTCAGGTCGGGGAAAGCGGTCGCCGCCAGCTTCTTGATGTTCGCGGACACGCCTTCCACGGTGGCGTTATGGGAAAACAATTTTCGGTTCTTGAGCACCGTGTCGGCCCACTTGGCGAAGGACGCGTCGTCGTTGGTCGCGTTGAGAATGGTCGTCGCGGCTTGGTGCAAAATGTAGGCGTTGCGGTGGTACGGAAGGGGGAAGTGGTGAAAGAGCACGCGTACGTCGATCGGGTATTTGTCGGCGAGCTTGACCACGTTCGGGAACGCATGCGCACTATCTGGGCACAGTAAGTCGAGGAAAAAGTCGATTTGGATTGGGGCGTCGGGGGACCCATCGTTGTACGGAATGCCGAATGGGTGCGCGGGAATGGGGGCCTCGGCGGCTACAAGCGCCAAAGGCGCGAGGGCGGCGAGCAGCGTGGTGGACTTGACCATAGCGTGGATCGTTCAAAAGTGAAGTGTATTGGAAATGAACGAGCATTTACCATGGCATTCGTGATTTATACGCTACGTCCAACTACAAATGTCGTACTGTAGTTAGTTACCAGTATACTGTAGTACCATAGATATACTGTATCCATGAGTCTGAATCTTGCCGGGACATGACAACCTGAGCTGTCCCTTGTTGGTGGGTTACTATTATTAACTGTAACGGTAACTGCGTATGTTGTAAGAGTAGCCGAGGCCACTTTAGCAGTATAGTACTATTAGTACTATTAATAGTAGGTCGTTGCATTTATGTTAGTGCATGCTGACGAACGCTGTTGACGACTAATACTGGTAGGTCCATGAATAATTCCCTCATTTAAACAGTTCCAATATTGTTTGACCTGACAATGAGGGAATTGTGTAATCTGGATACACCTTTTCGCCCGTAGCCCGGCAACCTACCTGCGACTCCCCAGTGAGTACATACGATGTTAAACCCCTCGTAAGAGGTAAGGTGGTCCGAGCTTACAAAGTTCCATATAAACACTCAAGTTGCAGTGTTTTCTGGACAAATGGAACAGTTTTAATGAGGGAATTGTACTAGAGGTCAATTCCAACCGTCGAAATGTAAGGCCCTTGTTTCAAAGTGCGAAATGGACCGTATCGCAGACCAGACGATTTTTATACCCACGAGAACATGTTGGCATTGTCAGCCGTGCTGGTTGGTCCCTTGCCCTTGGCAAGCATTTTCGATGTGGCTGCAACATAGGAATGACACCACCCCAGTTGATACTCTAAAGCATGACGTGCTTGGGTTCGTCTTGCTTTCTCCATCGAATTAGATCCTTGAATTTCCATGACACGCCAACGCGTCGCCCGTCCCTGTCTGTCGCGGTAGTACTACTGTACAGGTGCACTGTATCATCGGGACATCAATGGTGATCGAGCACAGTGGACTCGTAGCGCTAACTTTGCCCATGACTTCGAAAGCGAATAGTACTGCTGACCCTGCAACATTGGCAGCGGACATACCACCAGTTAGTGCCTGCCTCATGCCCACTCAGTTTGATTTGTACAATATATTTGTTAGATCCAAATAATATAGTATACATATTATTACAACCCAACACAGACCACGCAACCAACGACCTAATCCGGTTGGCATTTTTATGATGGAAAGTCAAGTTTAGGATCGCATCATGCAATACAAGCACGTGGATTGGCTCCTGGGTGGGAGCGAACCCAAAGATCAAGAGTAAAAATACCTTGTCACAGTCGGCCCATAAAAATGATATCGTGTGCCAGCCGTACATGTGGGACCCTTCGTAAGCGTACACATTGCAAATACGTCGAAGTACTACAGTACATAGTCGTATGTACCTGCGCTTACCAGGAATTTCAGAATCACGTCGTCGTACTACAACCAAAAGCCAAGCCACACACACATATGCCATTGTTGAATTCACGTTGAAGCAGCATGGTCAGTCTCGTTGCCGTCATCGCTTTCGTCGCGGCCGCCGCCACCGCCGACGCACCCGTTCCCAAGCGTCCGTTGGGGCTCACGTACAACTACGGGTCCCCGCACGCTTCGATCCAACTCGACTTTTTCCTCGACCTACTGTGCCCGTACAGTCGTGATGCCTTCCCCCACGTGACCAAGATCGCCGACGACTACCCGGACAAGATCCGCGTCCTCTTTCATCACTTCCCCCTCCCGTACCACCGCAACGCGTTCGTGCTGCATCACGCCGGTCAGGCATTCGTGAACATCACGGGCAGCGACGAAGCGTTTACGCGCTGGGCCGCAGCTGTGTTCAAGAACCAGTCCGTGTTCAACCAAGACGTCGGGCTTCCGGAAACCAAGGCCGCCATCAAGAAGCTCGCGCTCGCGGCGTTACCCGAGCTAGGAGGCGGCGACGTCGACAGCGGACTCAAATCCCGCGACCGCAATCTCGAGGTGCGCGCGGACTTTAAGTACGGCACCACCCGGGGCGTGTATGGCACCCCCAGCATCTATCTCAATGGAATCCATGCGTTCGACGACGTCGACTATGACATTTTGTACGCCAAGATCCGCCCGTTGTTGGGCTAATACGCGGATCGGGGGGAGGGTCTGTACTGTACGTGGATGTAGTAGTAGCAACCACTGCGAGTATATCTTGTTAAAAATAAAGAAAAACATATGTCGTTGAATGGGTGGTTGGGAGTGCACGCTAGTTGCTAAACGTGGCTACTACTACAAGTAGCACTTGCTACACCAGGGAAAAGGCTCGTGACTTGAATTAAAAGGCTGGTGACTTGACACCACGGAAAGACTGAAACTTATCGTGCAACGTTAAAACTCTGCGATAATGTTTTGAAATGTCAATATTGGAGATTCGGTATGAATTTCCGGACCCCGTTCAATCGAATCTCGCCGAGCGAATCGAGCACTAATCTCTCCCATTGGTCAATCCGAAATTACTTGTCGCTGATTGGCTACAATCCATTTTCGAGTATCTACTGGAAAGGACGAAGTGGATAATGGCCAATCAGTTGTCTCAGCTCTATTTGTGCTCGATTGAACGAACCATGCAAAATTGGGAAATTTGAACAAAATCGACAATATTTCAGTCCAATATAATAGTTGTACTTGATCGAATCCACGACAATTCGAAAGAACGAACGAACAATTCCTGCGCAGTTATTCGAGTCCTTATGACTAGGTAGTTATCCTAAGTCGCCGATGACGGGAATGTGTGTGTCGACTAGAGATAGTGTGCGATCGATGTGTATAACGTTGGTGGTGTACACATGTGATTGGATGCAAACTCGTCTGTAAATAGTTGACTCTCAGTTGTTGTGCATCTCCTTGGCCCTTTCAAACGCGACCCAGCCTAAACGATTCGCAACATTGTTACATATAAACATATACATATAGATCCAACGTACCCACGACGGTGGCCCCCGCTGAAATGGCCATCTCGGACGCAGGGGGCAGTTTCACATACTTGAAATGTCTACACGCGTCGGCGCTATCCATCCCAAACGATCAGAGATTGCATCACGCTTGTAACCGAGTTGGGGGGGGGTTCTTCCGTACAACGCCACGTGTTCAAACGGCGCTGTCAAATGCGACACGACGTCCACCGCCACCCCGGACACGGCGCCGGCTGCGACGATGCCAGCCATGGGATGCCACTATAATGTAGCCATCAGATTGAAAAAATGATGAAAGAAACATTCACACAGGAAGTACAAACCTCCCTGTTGTCCACCACGTATGCTCGAATACTTTGGTAGGTGGCAAACATTGCCATATGGGACAGCCCATGGCTGAAGGTCACGCCCCCCAGCCGACTCGGACGATCCGCCACCGCAAGTTGGGGAAAGAAGAACTTGTCCGTGGCTCCTGTAAGTACTCCGTGAAGGGCCCCCGCCGAGCCCCCAGCTACCATGGAGATCCACACGGTCGAGCCAAGAGATTTGTGGGTCTAAGCAAGGTGAGTTATATTGCATTGGATAAAGAAACTACTGAACGTTATGTGTACTTGACGTTCCGACAGGTGTTCAATCGCAATGTCGTATGCCGTCCACAGTATAAACCCTAGCGAAAACAAACAAGGTTTAAAACGTGGTTACGGAGAATGAATGCACCGAGGACAGCCGTGCGCGCTAGCCCAGGAGCTTGGGCGACGATACGCTTCCGAAGGTATCCGTTTTCATGTTCTGGCGCACTGTGCACTGCTTGATGATGGGCAGCTTCCAAGACGCTAGTTACAATGATATAATGACGTCCATGATAGCAAGTGTGTGATGAGCATGCATGCGGACCCATGGAACATGGCCGTGCCTTCCTTCACGGGCACCCGTGGTGGTCGCAACTTGGGACGATATCGAGCTAGTCGCGGTGCCATGGAGCGCATTGTAGAGCGTAGCGTGCCACGGACGACTCCGGCAACCCCCGCGTTAAGCACGCCCTTGTCCTTGTCGGAGCTGCTCGAGCTAGCAGCGCCTGACATGGTGCAATTATGGCATTATTGTGGGATGTCATCCCACGTTTATGCAACAAGTGACAAGGCACCCTGAAATTCGATACCAAGTTGGAAATACCAATTTTGAAGGACTAAATTCGATACCAAGTTGCCTTGTATTGTGCTTTTCACATATTTTGCCCGTTGTTTTAGCTCCTAAAACCATCCAAAGTTTAACCTAAACTGAAGTTGCACTCGACGTAAGAGTAAGCTTCCCCACCGTTCTGTCATTGGCTGATCTAAAACTTGCGTTGTTTTACTAAAACTACTTCGTTTTATTAACTCCCGTGGCCAAGCAGTCATGCAGAGTAATGACCTACTGGGGTAAGCTCGCAGTGCACCAGCTCACACGAGCTTTGCAGCCAGCTTGTTAGCAACTCTTTGGCACGAAAAGTCGAGCAAGAAGCACTCAACATCAACCTTTATCGAGCGTAGTCAAGAATCACACTCGCGTGTATTAGGTAATCCACTCTGTAAACCCCCGCGTTTGCCGAAATGAAATGGGCAAACGCTTCAGGTTAGCAACATATGCTGCAGGAACAGCTCTTGCTCATCCAATCATAGGTACTTCCGATTAGCTAAAACTAAGTTGAATTAATCTAAAACTTCGTCACCCACTGGTTAAAAGCGGGTATTTATACCCAGATTAGACAAAATATGTGAAAAGCACAATAATACTTTTTTGGGTGGTAACTTCCACCTATTAATAGTTCACGTTAGGAGTAACAATTTACATTGAGTGACTTCACTGTCAATATCAAAACAACGATGGACACGTGTGGGCGACACTACGGTAGCTAATCTCACCAGCTGCACAACCGTGGAATCCAGTGTTGGAGTATATTCAATTCCCATGCCAACTGTACACACGGTGCCATGGAGCGCATTGTAGAGCGTAGCGTGCCACGGACGACTCCGGCAACCCCCGCGTTAAGCACGCCCTTGTCCTTGTCGGAGCTGCTCGAGCTAGCAGCGCCTGACATGGTGCAATTATGGCATTATTGTGGGATGTCATCCCACGTTTATGCAACAAGTGACAAGGCACCCTGAAATTCGATACCAAGTTGGAAATACCAATTTTGAAGGACTAAATTCGATACCAAGTTGCCTTGTATTGTGCTTTTCACATATTTTGCCCGTTGTTTTAGCTCCTAAAACCATCCAAAGTTTAACCTAAACTGAAGTTGCACTCGACGTAAAAGTAAGCTTCCCCACCGTTCTGTCATTGGCTGATCTAAAACTTGCGTTGTTTTACTAAAACTACTTCGTTTTATTAACTCCCGTGGCCAAGCAGTCATGCAGAGTAATGACCTACTGGGGTAAGCTCGCAGTGCACCAGCTCACACGAGCTTTGCAGCCAGCTTGTTAGCAACTCTTTGGCACGAAAAGTCGAGCAAGAAGCACTCAACATCAACCTTTATCGAGCATAGTCAAGAATCACACTCGCGTGTATTAGGTAATCCACTCTGTAAACCCCCGCGTTTGCCGAAATGAAATGGGCAAACGCTTCAGGTTAGCAACATATGCTGCAGGAACAGCTCTTGCTCATCCAATCATAGGTACTTCCGATTAGCTAAAACTAAGTTGAATTAATCTAAAACTTCGTCACCCACTGGTTAAAAGCGGGTATTTATACCCAGATTAGACAAAATATGTGAAAAGCACAATAATACTTTTTTGGGTGGTAACTTCCACCTATTAATAGTTCACGTTAGGAGTAACAATTTACATTGAGTGACTTCACTGTCAATATCAAAACAACGATGGACACGTGTGGGCGACACTACGGTAGCTAATCTCACCAGCTGCACAACCGTGGAATCCAGTGTTGGAGTATATTCAATTCCCATGCCAACTGTACACACGTACAGTATACGCTACGCTGGACAGTAACCCATCCCATGCATTCAAAATATTTGTTCAATTTTTATATTTATATAATTTATTAAACGATTGATTTTTTTAAAATTGATTTATTGTCCAAGTAGTAGTTGGCGGTTCCGTTGATACTCTTGTTGGTGAGGCCACTCCACAATCCCAGTGTAACGTTAGAGTACATTTATTTACCAGGTGAGGCGAGGACCTCGACCGGCACACCCACGGATGTAACTGTTTTCGTCTTGGTTTTTACCACTTGAAAGTCGTTTCATCATGCGACAAACTGAACCAAGGCCGTGCCCATTTGCCGGGTGTGGTGCTAGCCCCCAAGTAGAAATACTGCGACCCACAACAGTGAAATCTGTAGTGCATACCTTGACACCCCAAGAAGTCGTACCGTGCGCGGATGTTTTGGAGGCTTTGTCAATGCGCAGTAGCGACATAAAACGAGATTGAAACTGAGAGACTGCGACATTTTAACAACGAGATGAGGTCTCAACACATCACCCACACCTTTTGCTTTATAATTTCTACTTCATACGAACTATTAGTAGTACTATTAATACAGTAGTAATACACGTTAACTATAGTGTCCTATTGATGGCGGGTTTACGTTGACAACTGTGTGAGTGCAATTTTAATGCTCCAGCCAATCAAAAGACAGTAATTTTAATGCTCCAGCCAATCAAAAGACAGTAAAATTATTGTACTTACCTGGTAGTAGAAAGGGCAAGTATTTTCAACCAATCAGAATTTCCAGAGTGATTCAATATTGAACACCAAGCGAATTTTTTTATAGACAAAACCAAGGATATAATTCATTTTAGCTGATACGGAGGGTTAAAATGCACGACAATCCACCGGATGACGCAAGTTTATCCGGCGGAGCGAAAGATCGCAAAAACGGCTCCATCACGTTGAACATTAATCACGATGACAGCGACTACGACAACGACGACGCAAGTGGATGCCGTGTGCTTTGGCTCCGGCCGATTCTTGGTATGTACCACGTCATGGCGTTCTCAACAACCCCCCAGTGAGGAGTCCTTATGATGCACATGCGTAGCGCGCGGTGCTAGTTCCTGTGTGGCGCCACGTGAACTTGAACGTCGTGGTGCTGCAAACCCGGGGCGACGACTTTGTCAAGCAGTGTACGCTTGACAACCTTCAATACGAAGTGGATACCGTGGAGCGAGATGGGTCCGTGTCCACTCAAGAGGTGCGTCCTCGTGCAAGTCGCCAGATCTTTCGATCGTTGTTATGTGGTGTAAGTAGGTCCAACTGGCTGGCGTGGCGTCGTTGGGCGTGGCGGCGCAGAAAGCCGCGTTCTTTGGTCGCATTCCCGAGCTGACACACCTTCGCTACGTTGGCGTTGGCGTAACGGAAGCGGGGATTCACCCGAGTAGCCAAGCCATGAAGGACTTGGCGGCGTTCTTGGTCGCGCTTGTCGAGTATTTCCCAGGTAGAACTATCCTCGTATCTTGACCAGATTCCATTTGTGGGATGGGAACACGTAGACAAGTGCATATCCGTGATCAACACGGACAACTTGGCGGCCAACGGCGACTTGATTCGATCGTACGCATGTTCATTGCCATGCCTCGACCCATAACACATCTGAAATGTCGTCGTCTGTTATAGCATCGTGTTGGAGCTCGTTCCTCCGGCGCTCCAGCCCCTTGTGGCGTCCCACGTCACATTTCACAACTCGATGGTAGACAGGATCACCGCCAGCCGGCCGTCGAACTCGATGGTGCCGTACACCGAGCCATTGCCGCCGAAAGCGCTGGTGATTGAGGACTTGACCGGGCAACTGCCATTGGCATGGGGTAGCATTCCTGGCGTCCAGCTTCGCACCCAGCCCAGTACAAATATATATACCCTCGAGGTGTATATATATCAAGCATCATCCCGTAGATGCACTGACGCAAGACCACTTGCTTAAACTGGGCATAGCCAATGCTACGCATACAGCCATGGTGTACGCCCTCGCGCTGTCCAGACTTCCGACGACAGCTGCCGCGCCACCGGTGGTGTTTACTTACTTGGACGGTCTCGTGCAAAAAGATCTGGCGCCTGGGTTGCTCACTCATGGCCTTTCCTATGTAAATATATAGTATACGAAATGTGTATATGTTTGATATATGTATTTGATATATATATAAGGTAGGATTGATGTATATAATATATATATATATATGATGTAGGGAGTGATCCAAGAAGTGTACAAGGACTGGATCCATCGATTGAAACACAAATATTTCGGCATGGATACGTTTTTTGTGGCGCAAAATGCATGGACAAAGTATACCATCCGCTTGTTGGCGACCATCGCTCCCCATGTCCAGGTACATAATCGTGTTGTTGGATGATATATATATATATATATATTATTGTTTTGCATGTATATAGTACCTGTAATACACTTTCAAGGTGACATAGCGTATTTGTCGTTGATCTGCACCGTGAAATATAGATTGTGATTATTGTGCTTTCGAGTGAAATGTCATTGTGTTGTGGTTTCTCGTTGGAATTTAAATCGATTTGATTGGCTACGTCTGATGAGCTCAACATTATTAGCCAATCAAAACCATCTCAATGAAATTCAACCAATCAGATCGATTGTGGATCGGTTTGGTCGGCGCGATTCGATTGCACCCCCTCCCCAAATTTGTATATATCAAATCGACAATATGATCGTGTATACATATATGATTGTATACCTCAATGGCCTCTCAAAATCTATATATATATATGTTTTGAGATATAATCGTATACATAGGATTGCATACCTCAATGGCTCAAATCAACTTAACAAATGGTATATTTAAATAATTTATTCACATTGGATTACATGGTCGTGCAACGGTACGACAATACCTACATATGTGTCAATATGTGAAAAATCGCGGATTTCTTTTGCTCTTTGGAATTCGATTCACAATGATAGTATGATACATAAATTTGAACATATATTTCGACGGGGAGATATATATATCACCATATTTTTTGCAGGCAAATCCTACGTACATGCCAAGCATATACTTTACATTTGCCACGGCTTGTCTGCTTCGCTTTTTGACCCCAATAAGCCACGGCGGCGGTATCGTCACAGCTCGCGGCAAACAATTTCTCGGTATATATTTTTATTCTTGCGAAAACCCTTGCGAAAACCAACAACCACAAGAACTATAGCAGGAGCAACCTGTTCAAGATGATATTTATTTGTTCTGATGGTTAGGCCAAATGGATCATGTACTTCGATCGGGCAATGGGCCAACCAAATGGACATATGCCACAGGACTGAGCGCCGACGTCGCGACTGGCGCGTACGACTTTCGAGACGACGAGGCGGGTGAAGTGCCGAGTCTGCTGCGCGAGGCGTCTGCGTCCGGCTCGGTGGAAGCCACCACCAATATGATGCGGACGCTGCTGCGTCGGTGGGGCGGGTACGACGACGCGGACGACCGATGGCGCACGTTTGCTGCGAATGTAGCAGCCATGTATCGTCGATTCATCACGTACGACGAGATTTGGTTGTGTTTATATATGTATATAAAGGAATCCAGGCTTGGAGATTGGATGCACCAAGAAGCAATATACTTGTCGTTGTGTTTTTGTGTTTTGATCAAACAGCACAAATATAAAAAGATATTTCAAAAACAAGATAAAAAACAGCACCAATATATATAAAAATATATTTCAAAACAAGAAGAAGTTATGGTTTTCATGATTGGTATGAGATATATAAATCTTGAATTGTGTTTGAACGATATACATCGTGAGATGGATAAACAATGGGGGTGTGCCATAGGGTCCCCCCTACGTCCGTGCTCGATGTGCTGACGGAGCTCGTAGCCCAATCCACTGAAGCCTTGAAGGATGAACTTGCCATAGCTGCATACGTGGCAGACTCTGTGGCGTCCACGTGGGCCATCGACGTGCACACGCATTTGTTTCCGCCATCCCATGATACACTCATGCTGTGGGGAATTGATGCATTGCTAACATATCATTACTTGGTCGCGGAGTACTTGATGACGGCCCCCGTCGCCCCCGAGACATTTTTGGTACGTTTACACTAGTAGTAGTACTAGTACTGGCCTTTGACGTTGGACAACTCTATCGATCACGATTCTTCTTGGGACTGGATTTTGTAACTAATTACTACGTAGTATAAACGTGATTGGTATATATCATCACACTAATCGAAGTCATACACTATTTTGACGTCGAACGGATGGTTTCCTGCACTCTGATTGGCTATAAACACACACCACTTTTGCCGATTCTTGTGTACATGTCAATGTCTCGGTAGTGTAGATAGAATAAACAACACACGACAATATTGTAATCCTTTTACCCCAAATTTGGTTGACTTTTGTGCTAATTCTTTGCCAAATCTATGATTCTTCGCCAAATCTATCATCGATCGATTCTTTGTACTAACTTTTGTATATAAAGATCGTTCAGTGTCACCCTAATCTTAGTCATACACTAATTCAAGGTTGAATTGGTCGTAGCGTGGATGATTTGATTGGCCACTTGATTAGTGTTCTAGGTTTTGATTGGTCGATCATCGATTGTCTGCCGATTTGGTGATTCTGCTCATTCGATTGAGCACCACCCAAACACTCCAATTTCGAATCGACTTGGCAAAATATTATTTGCTCTTGGATCGTTTATGTATCTTGCTTTCTTTGAATATATAATATATACAATATATATTGTATATATGATGGAATTGTTAGGCTTGGCCTAAGACAAAGCAAGCCGATGCCATCTGGACGCATCTGTTTGTCGACCGATCGCCGCTGTCGGAGGCGTGTCAGGGCGTTGTGACAACGTTAAACTTACTCGGTCTGTCGGCACTGGTGAAGACGCGCGACTTGCCCGCTATTCGAGGTATGCGATCCAAACTATATTAATATTTATATAATATTATGAGTATTCATTTACTCTTTTTCGATGGTATGTGTGCGTGTGCTACTGCTGATGGTTTGTACTGTTTAAACTGTTTTGTTTCGTCAAAATCGTTAGAGTTACTGTAAGTCACACACACCAATTATATATTCGATGTGGAATCGTGGTCGGAGCAGAGAGGATTTGATTGGCCACTTGATTTGCGTGGTGGGTTTGGATTGGTCGAATTTCGAGTGTCTGCCGATATTTGGTCATTGGCTCTCAATCGATATTCAGCACTCTCCCCCTCCTCCAAATTTGAATCGAATATATATAATAAATATATATATACGTACATATTGCTCAAGTAAGTGATTCGCGTGGGGGTCAACTGAGTGTACGAACTCTACTCTTTATTGTTGGCCAGAGTTTTAGATTTATGGCTGCGCCTAGCGTTGTTTATTGGCTTGGTCTTGAACGATATGTTGTTGATTTGAAAATATATTTGGTTGTTGATAACGGGTAAATATATGGAAATATGTACTCGTTAGCGTGGTTTGCAACCCAAGAACCCAATGCGTACGTGGACTTGGTGTTTCGTCTGGCCAAAATTCGCTATGTGGTGATGACCAACATTCCGTTCGACCCACAAGAAGCCTCTTATTGGACCAATCAGACGCCATACAACGCCAGGCAATTCCGCACGGCGCTGCGGGTGGACCAGCTGCTGCTGGGCGACTGGGCATCACTCGGACCTGCCCTGGACTTGCAGTACGTTTATATATCATATACGATATATAGTAGGAGCGATTACGTGTATCATATTTTGTCTTATTCATTCAGCCAGTTATCCTGAGATTGGGTGGGATGCACGTATATATACATATATATATATATATATATATATATATATATATATATATACCTCTTGTTTTGGGATTGTTGATGATATATAAAAAAAGATATGCATGGCTATAGAATATATCTTTGTTTTATGATTGTTGGCGAGAATACATGACTGTAGAGTATACCTTTGTATTAATATTGTTGACGAATGTAAAGATATATATATATATATGCATGGCTGTAGGATGCCTATATAATAAATAGATTGTAAGATTCGTTTCATTACTGCATAAGCCATAGAACAGCTAATGGACGTATGGGGTTGTGTAGACATCTGCCGCACACGTTGGCTGGCGTGACGCAGTACTTGGAGTCGTGGGTGGACATTCTCCGGCCGGAGTACTTCATGGCGAGCGTGCCCGCGACGTTTGCGCTGCGCGAGTCGGCAGCGGCGGACCCTCTCGCTATCCAACCCGACGGCGCCATGCTGCTGCAGCATGTGCTGCTTCCCCTCGCGCAGTCGCGGCGCCTTCCCGTGGCGTTGAAGTTTGGCGCTGTGAGGCAATTGAACCCACGGTACTAGTTCCATATGGAGAATATATATATTTTATATGATTTTTATATATGATTTTTCGAATTTTTTGGTGAAATATGTAGGTTGAGCATTGCGGGAGACGGGGTGGCCGTGACGGACGTGTCGATCCTCTCGCGACTGGCCAAACAAAACCCAAACGTACGTTACAAATATCTATCTATAATATATATATATAGATATATAAATATGTATTATACATGACATATATATATATATAATTTCCATCGAGATATAAGATTCCCATCTATATATCGATATAGATGATTTCCATATATATATATATATATATATATATATATATATATCTTCCATCAGTATATATGGAAGTATACCATTTCCATTGATATATTCATATAATTTCCATCTATATATATATATATTTATATGGATGAAGATATATACATATCGGCGGACATGGCCAAATGGAGCGTAGGTCAAGTTTTTAGCCACCTACTTGTCCCGTGTCAACCAGCACGAAGTGACGGTGGTGGCCAACAAGTTTGCAAATGTGCACATTTACGGGTGCTGGTGGTATTGCAACAATCCGTCGATCATTGCCGGTGAGTTAGCACCATTCATTTCTTCAATCCGTTGTTGGAGGTGAGAATGGATGGCTAGAAATGACTCGGCTGCGCCTGGAGATTCTCGGCACGGGGTTCACCGCTCAGCACTCGGATGCTCGCGTGCTGGACCAACTGCTCTATAAATGGCGGCACTTTCGAGGGGTGCTCACGGACGTGCTCGTGCCCCTGTACACGCAGCTCCATCGAAATGGATGGCCAGTGACGGCTCTGGCTATTGACCGCGACGTGGGGACGCTACTGGGCCACGGCTACGAAGAGTTTTTGCACAAACAGTTGTAGCTCATACAAGCGAATATGGCTACGATAGGGGCGACGACAGCAGCAAATAGGCAGTTCATGTAGGGTTATTGTCTAATTTGAACAAATATGCTTGTAAGTAGTCTTGGAGCACTAACTAGCTGTACACCCAAGTAGTTAGTCGACGAGATGAACTATTGCTGTAAACGTGAAACGATGATTGATCGGATTGTAAACACGTTAGTGTAACCTCGGTGATTAGTATTCTCAAAAGATGATTTCATGATCAATTAGTTGGCACTAACTACGATTAGTATGCAGTAACACGTTCTGGCATCGATGTGGGAACGGCAACATGCTTGCTAACGTTACCTTAAGATAGCGGATCTAACCACATATCCAGACGTGGACGAGGTTTCTCCGCCACATCCTGCCAAGGGTTTATTACCCACAAAGAATAGGTACGTACATTACCACGCATAGCCTTACCAATTCGACCACGAATAGCCTTACCAACACTACTGTAGCGCCACGTCATAAGATACCAGTAGGTAGTTACTAAATGAAACAATCGAGTAACGTTAGTATGGACATCTGTTTGGACTCAGCCCACGACCACGAGTTGATTCGTCCGATGTGAACCCTTTAGGCTTGGCTAGCTGTTGGGCACAGCATTACAGCCTTGGCTATCTCTTAGGTACAGCATTGGTTGACTCTTGCCGTGACGGACCTGCTCTCGTTGTAGCCATACAGTTTATTGGCACCTCTGAAATGCCGTGGAAAGCCACATGGATCCAAACTGTACGATCGTAGTAGTTCTCTTTTCGAACTCAATTAGTCAAGTTTGGGTAACTGCAGGTGCTGTGGACTCGGAGGCTAAAGGGCTGATCAACGATGGACTGGTTGTGGCGTGATGAAGATGCACATCACGTTGGTTGACACACATACCTGACAAATGGGTTGATTTGATATATAGATACATCGGGTAGGCGTATACTACTGTAATACTGTACCACCGAGCCCACCAAACGACGTAGGTGTAGTGAGGGGGGGTGACCTGCAGCGAATTCACATTTGTGTTCGTCGACCAAGGCGCCGTGGTGGTTATAGTACACCGCGACGGGGCGCACGGGGTCATTGCTCACTGGTCGACGACATGGCCTCGTCGCTCGGCTGGTGAGTATGTCTACCCATTTGGGCACTAGATTTTGTACTACCGCTCCATTGGCACGGGCACGCATTAAGCTGGACTCCAGGCGCTGTCGTCCGTCGTGATGACTTGGCGAGCGCATTGGCGATTTCTTTGATGCCATGTGAGGGTTGCTGTGCCAGGTATGTTCGTTCAACGCGCACTTGCAAAGAAGGCCGCCGATCCAGCGTTGCTGCGGCAGGATTGATGCTCTGGAGAAGTGAGACAAAGGGCGAGGGCATCTCACCTGAGTTGGGTTGAGTGCATGTTGAATGTGTTGCGGTGGATGCGTGAGCAAGTTCTGAAATGCCGCCGCTCTCACCACATAATGCCACGTCACAGACGTGTTGAAATTGCATTTCTGCCCAATCAACGAATTAGCAAGGTACTTCTGTAGTACTTATTACTATTAATAGTATAAATTACGACAAGATTTTTAGAGAATGAGCAAGGTCGAATTAACTTCCGTTTCAATTTTATTAATAACGTTAATTGAAACGGTAGCTATTATTAATAAGTACTACGTAGTATTAAAATAAAAACGTTAGCTCTCATTTCAGAGTTAACAGAAAAATGTTAAAATAGTACTGAAGTATTAATAGTCCAACAAACGCAACCCCCCAATACCTAATAACTGCAGTATTATTATGTTTAACAGGATCATAGAGTTGTTTGGTGGTGGATTGCATTTGAAAGTGCGCCATGAGCAAAAAAGCCGCCGTCGCCGCAACCCCTGCTGCTGCCGCCTCCACCGCGGACAAGGAACATGAAGAACGCACCGACGTAGAAGAAGACGAAGAAGAGGAAGAACCTTCTGTTGAGGAAGAGGACAAGAGCAAGGCAGAAGAAGCCAGCGCCATGAACAGCATGAACGACACGAACGATGACGACAACGATGACGACGTCGACGTGGGTACGCTCAGGAAGCTACTCACGTCTCTCAAAGTTCAAGAAGAACAAGACAAGGAAGCGACGGTGAAGCGGGAGAAGGAGCTGGCGGCGATCAAGGTGAGCAAGGAGGACGTTGCGTTCGTCGTGTCCGAGCTCCTGCTTACCCCCGCGCAGGCCGAGCGCAAGCTGCGCGAAGCCCATGGTGATCTCCATGGGTGTTTGAAGTCGGCTCTGCGACTGCCGTAGTGACAGCACATCTAATGTTAACCTACTTTTCTATTGCGACTTTACACTTTGTGGCACAAAGAGTAGTTAGTCAACATTACTCTCTGTCCTGCATTGAATTATTCATTCAGTAGTATTATTTAACGGAATATAAATTTAGGTGGAACTAACTGCCTTACAGTTAACGGTGCGAGCGCATCATTTCTTGGGCGTCTTCAATCGTCCAAAGATTGATATTAACATGCAAATATATACATTTGCTCCTCCAAATTTTTCAGGGTCATGCTGCAACGTCAGTCTCCGATGGCCAACTTGGTAGACGAAAGTAGCGCTCATACATGTGTGTTCACACCGGCATGTCCAGTCCATACTGCCAGGAGCATATTCCGAATACCGGTAAAGAAGAGCTCGGCGAGCTGGCGGCCACGTAAGATGTAGCTGTTGGCAATGTTTATGAAAAATATTTATGAGGATAGTGTTGGGGTCAAATATGCAGTTTTGCATTGGAGGGTACAATGACCACGAGTCGCCAGTGGTTAGCTATCGCTAACCCCGGCAATATATACCTGGAGAATGAAGATTTTTCAATTTGAAGTTTGTAGCTCCCAGTGTGCCAGGGTTTCGAGGTTACAGGCTCTAGATGGGACACATTGTTGTGTAAACCCTATTCAATACTATTAGTAGTACACATTTGGTTTTGTACTTGCTAAAGTAGGTGTTTCAAGTTACTGTAGTGGTGTTTTATATGCGAAGCGCCAATCATATCTCCTGCCAGCACACTAGCGAAGTCTATGCTCAAATATATACGTCGACCATCCCAAAGCCATCCAAAATCTGGAGCAACAAATTGCATATTCATCGCTCCCTGGAACTATGTTTGGACCGATTCACGACGGCCCCTACCCCAAATGCAAACGCATCCCGAGAGGACCCTGTCCCACTTCGACGAAACTCGCGCCTTGTTTCCCGATGGGCAAACACTTGGTCCAGCACGTATCGAAATCGCTTGCCAATGTCACTTAGGTCGTCCCCCCCGGGCGCGTCACTCGTCCCCCCCGAGGCGACGGCGGCGCTGGCCGTGGCGGTATGGGCCTGGTGGTCCAACAGCGGGTACGCGGCGAGCATGTCCTTAAAGAACGGTGTCTTCTTGAACCGCGGAAAGCTGTCCTTGCGCATCAACGTGGTGATTTCGTCCACTGCCTTGTCGAAAATCCCAAATGCGTCTGGGGCCCCCTTGTCTCGATCTACACTGCCGTCGGCGTTGTTGTTGTTGTTGCTGTGGTTGGTGGTCTCCACGGCGCGCAAGGCGGCGACGATTTCGTGGCGCATTTTCGCTTCGACGTTGATCTGTTTGGGGGACGACTCGAGGATATACTCGGCCACGATGGCCTTGGCGTCGGCCACGACCGTCGGGCTAAGCTTGAACGCTTGGACGGCGATTACAAACTGCAGGTTTTCTTCGCTGAACTCGAACGTGAGGTACCGCAGGTAAAACTGCCGCGCGCCGGGATGCCTCAATACCATTTCCACCGTGCAGTTCGCTTGTGACCACCGTATCAGCGCCTCTGCCATCGTCTGGGCACTTAGGTGCCCCCAACATGACTCGGTATACATGGACAAGAACACGCACTCGGTGGACGCGACGACCTTTGTGCCCGCTGGCAATGGGTCCATTCCAGGCAACAGTTCGCCCACGTGGCTAGAACACTCCATATGAGAAACCCAACGATACGACACTCTGAAAACTGAAGCCATCGAACAAACAGCATGATTATAAATATATGAAAAAACACGGAAATGGCATACCCAGACTGCTTGAATTCACTGGGCCCGGCCATGGCCGGAATGATTTCGACTGTGCCAGATAAAATAATGCGAAACTGCTTTTGCAGTCGACTTGGCGTGGGGCGACTGGTGGCGTCCTCTCCATCCGTCGATGTTGCCGCTACATACACCCCACAGCAACGTTAGAACTTATGGCTGTTCAATGCCAATCACGTTCCATGACGTGGCACGCTCAAAACGCTGCAAAGCAGCAAGACCTTGACCCTGGGTGTGTATATTCTGTACCGAGGATTTCTGTTCCACGAGCGACGTCGCTCTCGATAAAGCAGTGCGGCACCACCTTCATCACGTCGTCGTACTGAAACGCTTCAAACATCGGGACCGACCGCATGCCCAGCACGTTTTGGAGCAATCTCAACACCAACACGGACTTGAGCTTCGCTTCGACCTGGGGCTGCCGCCGCAGAAACGACAGCAGCGTGCTGCGTTCGATGCTCACGAGCATGCAGTTGGACATGGCCGTGACGCTGGCCGACCGCGGGCCCCGCAGCAGCAGCGTCATTTCCCCCATACACGACCCCGAATGCAACGTCGCCACGGGTTTCAGCACCTTGGTGTCCTATATAAAACACACACATGGTATTCAGTGAAACGTATGCCAATAAATAGTACACGTATTTGCCAATGGGCGGAATGCACACCCCAACGTACTTGGTCTCGTACACACACGCGCAGATCGCCTGCTAGCACGACAAACATCTCGTGGCCGCCGTCTTCCCTTTCTTGCATCACCACCTACCATTCGTTGTCGTTATCGTTCGAGGATGAATACTAATGTAGAGACGTACGCAATCGGTTTGAACGATGGAGATTGTGCCCAAGTCACTGAGGGCTTTGAGGTCCCCAATGGCAATGCCGCGAAAGTAGGGACTTTTTTGCAGGATCGACGCGCAGTCTTGTGTGATGGGGACGTTGCCCGGATCTAGTGGCGCGGTCGCGTGGGGGAGGAGGTTGTTGTAGGAGATGGCGGCGGCGGAGTTAGCAAAGGCGCCACCGGCGGCTGTTTGCGCGGACGTCCGTCGGGGAGCTAGCGGCACGAGCGAGTTGAAGCGCCCCCACGTCGTGCCTTTGGGGCTACTCGGGACGATAGGGGGCAGCGCAATGGCGCGGGACTTGGCCTTGATCTCCACTTGGGTGACCAACAACGACTTGACCACGACTTCGTGCGACCGGATCTTGGACGCGACGAACCGGAGGAGGTACGTCCCCCCACCGCTACTGCTGCCGTCGTGGTTCAAAGGGCCCCGCCGACACAGCATCACCTCTTCCGTTGCGTGCTCCCTGTCGACGGCGTAGTACCGCAGCCGCACCGCGAGCGAGTCGTCCCGACGTAGAAGCGACCGGCGCCGCGTGATCGCATTGCGCCTCGTCCGCTCGATCATGAACGAGACCTTGCCCACGTCCAGAACCGTGGCAGTGATGTGCCCACTGTAGATGAAGATGAGGTGCATATCGTCCGGAATCACGTGGGGGGACCGGGGGGTGAGCACAATGTCGTTGGAGACTGCCGCGAGCGACGGCAGCGACCGGATCGAGTAGAGAGGCGCGAGGAGCGACGTGCCCCAGATGGCTTCTTTGCGCTTGAGGGCTGCGGACTCGTGGTGAAAGTACGACAACAAGCCCACCTTGGACCCACTGAACGATGCTCCCATGTATTTCGTATATATAAATGGACGTCGTTTGAAAGCCCGACCACGATAAATTCGTCGCCGCCTGCTGCAGACTACGTCCACGCACACACGACAGACAGCCCGTGAATCAATCGGCGGCAAATATATATATATAGACACATAGGTACCCCTGTTTCAGGGAAATGATAATGTAACTGATGTGTAACCGTCCATGTAACTGTTTCAGTTTGGTCAATTATCGGATAAGCCAAGTGCCATTGCCCAACCAAACTTCACAAGTGTACCGTAAATCAACCACGACACTCCGACTTATCATGGCTGTAGTGTAGGTTTGTAGCCCGTCGTTGCTTACATATTCATCCAAGCAAGATGCTGTCGAATCGCACGAGAATTCTGCGATATGGTTGGGTTCGTGTGCTCGTCGCCATTTGTTCACGTTAGATGCATATAGAGTGCAAGAGTCCTTTTAAATGTCTACGCGGCGTGCATCGACGCGCGAGGTTGGTGGCGCACCAGAAGCGGGCGCACTTGAGTGGTCGGGAAGTGCTGCTCCAAAAAATATGACAGCTCCAGGGGGTCGCTCAGAGGTGGCGGTAGGGCCTGCATCTGCATGTGGATGTCTGCGGCATGGCCGACAAATTGCAAGGGTGTCGACATCACCTGGCTCTGTTCGGCTTCGACACTTCCATGGAGTTGCACGAGGTCGTACTACTCAAAGCCACAAACATTCAATATACTTCGCAGTATTGTCGATTTGATACAAATTTGGGGTGCAATCGACCAAAAAAGCATTCACAATCGATCTGATTGGTTAAATTTCATTTAGAAGGTTTTGATTGGCTAATAATTTTGAGCTCATCTGAGGTAGCCAATCAAATCGATTTAAATTCCAACGAGAAACCACAACACAATGAAATTTCACTCGAAAGCACAATAGAATTCTTTGCTACTTCATACTTCGAAGTATACATATAGTTTTAAATCATACTGTGCTTTTCAGCCAAATTGGACAATTGTTTTGGGAGATTGTTGAAATCGCCAACAAATCGAGCAAGATGTATGATTGGCTACAACAACCAGAATTCATTCCGATGGCCAATCATATACTTCGAGTACTTCCAAGTGATATACTAAAGTTTACTGGCATTCTTACCTCCAAGTTTTTGACCAGGGACAAGTAGCACACGATAAACTTGTGAACGATGGCAGTGAGGTTGCCGCTGCTCGCTCGCTCGATGGTCTGCCACACAATCGTGGCCATTAGCTTCCATTGAAGTTTTGGTCCAGGGAAGCAGTCGTGTGAGTACCTGCTGTGTGGCCGTCATGACGTCCAGCGCTTGCGCATATTCACCGGCGACTTTTCGAAACTGCTTGTAATGAATCATGCACTTGGCTTTGAAGTCCTTGGCGCGACGAATGGCGTCCGTGACTTGACTCACGGCCTTCTTCGAAGGGGACGACTCTATCAAATGTGTGGGGGCGGTGGCCTGTGTGACGAGGATCGCCGTGGCATCGTCTGCGTCGAGAAATGTGTTGGGGTCGATGCCGTTGTCAATCGCCCGCGACAGCAACCGACTCGCAAGCGCAAACGCATCGTGGAAAGCAGTCAACGTCGTCGTGTATGTGTGCTTAGCGCCCTGTATACAAATGCCATGACAAGACACAAGAATCAACGAGGATGCACCTCGAACGCGGCTTGCCGTGCGTGTGCGTCCTGCACTAAGCGGTCCATCTGATTGACTTGACGCTGCAGCTCAGTTTGAAGCTCGTCAATATCTAACGGAAGGTTGACACACAATTCCTCTGGTGCGCTCGCGGCATGTGCAAACAGCTCCGACACATGGGTGAGGACCCCGCGGAGAGAGGCCGACCCAACGGCCGCCTGATCCAAGTTGCGGCATGCAGTGGAAGAAAACGCTCGCAGTTCATCCTGGTGTTTCTTCTGCAGCGAAATGTACCCACGAAGCGTAGATGCAAGGACATCTGTCGCGTGAAGCCATGCCGACGGAGTCCACCGCTGCGCTGCTGATGCTGTCATGAACGCAATGGATTTTGTACTGCTAAAATTCGTGAAACGGTGTCTGTAGAATGATGGTAGTTTGTTCGTCCCTAATTTAATTGCTATTTTTAACAATACATACAGAAACCAAATTCAATTAGGTATTTTGTATGTATAAAATACAGCATTCTCCATCGGGAATGCTGGTCGCCCTCGAGCATACTTTGATCGAATCAGGCGTGTTTATCCGGTATTGTATCCGGATCTTGACGACCATTGCCGATTGGTTGTCCACGAACATGTCGAGTAGTCCTCCTCATGAGGTGGCACCGTCCACAACGCCGCCGCCGCCTCCTCCTCCACAGTACTTGATCATCAACAACATCCAAAAGAGAAAGAACATCCGTGACATGCTCCTCAGCGCCAGTGCGTTTGGAGTCGCCGAAGTGTTTGTTGTCGGACACAAGCTGCTCAGCTTTGATCAAGCCATGAACATCGAAGACGTGCTGCCCGGTTTCCAGTTTCCGTTTCGCATCACGCGCTTTGACACTCTTGCCGAATGCCGAGCCCACCTCGTTTCTATTGAGCCCACCGTGACCATCTTAGGCATTGAGATTCTGCACAACGCCAAGAGCGTCAACGACGTCGACGTGTTCCAGGGCCCGACGGCGGTCATGGCGGGCAACGAAGGTAGCGGGTTGAGCGACGCCCAAGTGGCCATTTGCGATCGATTTGTGTACATTCCCCAATATGGCGGCGGCACTGCATCGCTCAATGTTACGGTGGCCACATCCATCGTCATGCATGCGTTTGCATTGTGGGCGCATGATTATTCGACTGCCGGGACACCATTATTACCTGTATCAAAATAACTCGACAGACACGCAACTCTATGCCATGATGGGCGCTCTATGTAGCAACATGGATCGCCGTTCTGTACTGATTCAGTCTTCACTACCGGTAGTGAACATTAGTACGATAGTACATAGAGGTATCTAACGTTAGTACGAAAAGTAGTTAAGGGGCAAATAGCACACATGTTACATGCTGTAGAATGTCTAAGGCCACTTCCCTCTTTGGAGCCACCGCCAGCCGAACGCCCGAGTCAATGACTTCACCACCTGGGTGGTAGGCTTGCCTGTCGCATGCGTGGCACCTTGGCGATCCGGGGCGCCTCGTTGACGCGAACCATTCGCTAAAATTTATATTTGGCCTACACAGGAGCTTGTCGTGCTCTCCGCGGCATATACATGTATATACCACCAACGCCTATAAAGGTACGACGGCTTCGTGGTTGTCCTAGCTAGTATGGCCGGCCATCCACATCATAGGCTACAGTTGTGCAGAGCCATTGATGATTGATGATGGCCGCTGTATACTCAAAAGATAGTACCTTGAATATATACATTTAAAACCAATAATACGTGAAGAATGTAGAATGATGCATATATTCTCTCATTTCGGACCTTCCACCCCTTCATGTCAATAATGTGGTGCGCCAACACACTGTCATGTCATCGTTCGTCCCCACCATCGAACTCCCTCCACTGCAAATCTGCGATGGCATCCAGGTCGTCAACCCACCATCGTCGAGCGTTTCAATTTGAAGTCGAGCAGGACTTTCAACCAGGCCGTACGTATAATTCGCAACCAATATATATATATATATTATTACATCGCCCTCATATCGCACGTGGTGCATTGCAGCGTCGTGGGCGTTCCCTGGCCCCGGGCGATCCATGGACCTGCACATGCCTCGAAGCGAAGTCGCGGCCATCGCGACTGAGCTCGAGAAAGATTGCCCGCATGCCCTAGGTGAGTGGACGAGCACGGCCATCACTGGCAACGACGTGCTGTCGTCGTGCTTGTACTCGGCGGGTATCGTCGCGTCGAAAGCAGGCAAGATGGCGCCCCTCGCCAACGTATTGGTGGCTGCGACGATGTTTCTGTTTCGGTTCATCTACGTCGAAGTCGTGAGCGCGATCCCGCTCAACGGCGGGTCGTACAACACGATGCTCAATACCACATCCAAGCGGTGGGCAGCGTTCGTATCGGCACTCGCCATCATCGCGTACCTGGCGACGGGCGTCGTGTCCGCCGTCTCGGCGTCCGACTACCTCCAGAAGGAGCTCCCAGCGCTTGACACTGTCTGGTCTGCCACCGCCATCCTCACCGTCTTCGCAGTTCTAAACGTGTGCGGGCTCAAAGACAGCGCCGTGGTGGCCCTCGTGATCTTTGTCGTGCACACGTTGACGCTAGTGGGGCTGGTTGGCGCATCGATTGTATACGCAATCCAACATCCGCATATCTTTTGGGACAATATGGCGACCCCGTTCCCCGCGTTGGTCGTGGAAGGGCGCGAGTTGAGGGGCAATGCTTCCACCGCACTCTTCTTTGGCTTTAGCTCGGCCATGCTCGGGGTCACGGGGTTCGAAACCGCCGCCAACTTTGTCGAAGAGCAAGTCCCTGGCACGTTTCGCAAAGTCCTCCGGGTACCCCCCCTTCCCCCCTAACCCCCCATCTTTCCACCTCGGTTATTTTTTTGCATCCATCTTATGGGGGGAAACGTCGTAGAACATTTGGCTGCTCTCGACGGGATTCAACTTTGCCCTGTCTGTGCTCAATTTGTGCGTACTGCCTTTGGCTACAACCACCGCCAACAGCAACGTCGTGTTGGCTATGATGGCGTACACAACCGTGGGCCGATGGTTCGAGCTGTGGCTGAGCATCGACGGGTTCATCGTGCTATCAGGGTCTGTGCTCACGTCATACGTTGGAATCACGGGGCTGGCGAAACGACTCGCCAAAGACCGAGTCTTGCCAGAGTTCTTTTTAGCCGAAAACCCCTGGCGTCACACCAACCACTACATTGTGCTGGCGTACTTTGTCGTAGCCACAAGCCTCGTGTGGATCCTCCACGGCAACGTCACCATGCTCAGCAGCGTGTACTCGTACGCTTTCCTCGCATTGCTGGTGCTCTTCGCTGTCAGCGCCATGCTGTTCAAACTCAAGCGCAGTCAAATGCCCCGGGAGACCACCGCCCCGTGGTGGGCGTGCTTTGTGGGCCTCACTATGACATGCATGGGGTTCTGGGGCATCCTTCTAGGTGACCCCAAGGTCTCGGTTGTGTTTGCCACGTACTTGCTGACTGTGTCGGCGCTCATGTTGCTCATGTTGGAGCGACTGTTTGTGCTGCGGATGGTCATGGTCGTGCTCAAGAGCGTCAGTCCGTCGCCTGCCAACGAAAAGACAAGACTGCCGTTGCTGCAATCCCCCAGCGAAGTGCTCGGCGGAAGGGCCATCGTCAAGGTACAGAAAGACTCTTTGGGGATTGTATATATATTTGTTTTCGGGGACTTTATATTGCGTGTGTGTTTTACTCAAAAAATATCCGGACCTGCCAAATATAATATGAATCTGCATTGAAGAGGCAGCGTTTTTCTATTTTAGCCAATCATAGTGCAACCTTTATTATTTTTATCCAATCATACTGTTTTGCTCAATTTATTGGCATTGGCAAAATTGGGTGAATAGCTAAGGGCCCGTCTGGTAACTTTTCAAAAATATTATTCCATTTTTTGGCAAAATGGGATAAACGAAAAATGCCATTTTCAAAATGGAGGTAAAAGGCCCAATATTTTGTAAGATGGCGTTTTGGACCTCTTCAACGAGTAAATCCCACGTGGAATTATTGGATTTGGGTTAAAACTGTTTAAGCAAGACATGTTTCAATTTTGATCAGATTTGTTGAATTCGACCTCAAAATGGCGTTTTGGACCTGAATATTGCAATATTTCAGGTTGCCCGACCGGCGCTTATATATAAATAATGATATAACCTGATCGAATGAACATGTAGGCCATCAAAACCATCAACGAACCCCCGATCGTGTTCTTTTCCAAACATCCTGACCTCCAAGTGCTCAACAAAGCCGTGCTATACGTACGACGGAATGAACACACGGAGAACCTCCACATCGTCCACGTGTACCCCCGCGGGGGCGCGCCGCCGCCCAACTTTATCGACATCGTCGCCGTCCTCGACTGCATGTACCCAAAATTGCGGGTGGGTATTTATACCATCTATATCCCCCCCACGACCATCATATGTGTGTACTACGTATTGTTGTTATATCTTGTCATCTGCGTCCAATGAAATGCTGCTACGGCGATGTGTGGTATATGAACGAATGGTGATGTAGATCGACTCGGTGGTCGTCGAAGGCGAGTTCGCGCCGAGCACGGTGCACTGGCTATCCACGTTCCTCAACATCCCCACCAACATGATGTTTATTCGCCAGCCAGACAATATGGACGCGCACAAAGTGTCGATGCTTGGGGTGCGGGTCATCACGGGCTAGCTACTACTACGTAGTAGTAGTAGTAGTTCACCAATTAAAGCGAATTATTATACGCTAATAAACGTGTGTTCCTTGTCCATGCTGCAGTAGTTTGGTTCATTATAGTACAAAGTCGAAGAAATCCCCAGTCAATAATTGGTGATTATAACCAATCAAATTAGTATGTACAACCAACTTGATTGGTTATAATGTATATCATGCAATACATTTTCCACGAAATTGGCCAATTAGAGTTGAACTTCAATCATTTGCAGGTGTGAAAGATGGTTTCGCGCACTGTTTTCTGACCAATCAAAGCGAGTTGAAGTGAACGTACGAAATACAACGATATTGGTCTCGTCACGAATATATAGGATGTTTGCGAATCTAACTGAGCAAATCACGAAATATACTGGCAGTCCACGAAATATAATGAGAGACGTTCCCACGAAATAAAATGCCGAAGCTGCGAAATATATGGTACACGTCATCTATACAACCAACTTATCAAAATTTTCTGACTTCTATTTCATATTCATTACTCAAATTTTCAGCAAATGAGACGTAGAATCGACAGATCTCAATGTGGTGAAGAAATTCTACGTCTCAGATTCAAATTTGGTGATGAATTGGTCCAGAAATAGATATTTAAGCTAGCGGTATTTTACATGGGCGCTTGGATATTTGGCCATAGGGGTGGCCGCTCAAATGTATCTTGATTTTTGTATGTGACTCTTATCCGTATTTAATATCCGGAGGCTAGGGGGACCTTTAACCTCCCACTCCAGTGATAAAACGCATGAAATCGGTATTTAACGTATCTGGAATTTGGGTTTAACTACATAAATTGCACGTTAAATAATAAAACCTTCACTCTTCAATTTGGCCAGTTGGAAGTTTTTAGATGAAGTCCACCATAATGAAGCTCCACGAATTGTAAATGGGATTCCACGAAATATACCAGATATTTTTCGAAATTAACTGTAAGCGCAAAAAGGTGTACATAGTCCATTAGTACTACGGAGTACTAGTACTACTGTATTACTAGTAGTAATACTTAATGAAGTACTACTAATAATAGTAGTATTAATCCTACAGAATAAATGGATAGTATTACTAGTTCAGGGTCAAATGAACAAATCGAACGAACAATCGCAAAATGGGAACCGGGACATCGTGCGAGGAGGTGCCGCCATCGGCGCAATCAGGACGAGACGCTGTTGCTGCAGCTCTGACAGATGATAATTATTCCGTCGAGGATGGCGTGCACTCCACGTCGAATGCCGTCCTCTATGCGCACAAGTTCACACAGCGACACCCACTGTTGCAGTGGAATGACACTGAAAACGTTGTCCATGGCATGGGTACCCGGTCGTCCAAGTTGCTCGTGCTCGTCGATATCTGTGACATGTCGGGCGAAGTCAGCAGTCGCGTGGTGCTCTCCGTCATGTCGTCTTCGTCGTCATTGCTTCTGTCGACCGCCCATCCCAGCGGTTACAAACTGAAGGCGCTCCTGGTGTCGGTGCGTCATCCGTGCTTGTTGCCCGTGCTGGATGTCGACAAGCAGCATGGAGGTCATGGTATTTTTATCATGGCCCAGCCATTCGTTCCCACGGGAAGCATCAAGGACTTGATCTACTGCAATCCCGTGCCCGCCAAGGGATATGCGAGCAAGTACAGCCGAGTGGGTCGGGGGTTGCCGCGCACTCTCATCAGTCGGTATGGTCGTCACGTGTTGGAGGTACTTCTCTTCGCCTCCTTCCAACATCATCATCCTCAGCTCTGTACAGGCGCTCAGAGCGCTTCGATCTATCGGCGTCGTCTGCGACCATCTGAAGACCAGCAACGTCATGCTGGACCAAGACGTTGCCAGGTGCAGCATGCATCTGCCCTATATTCCAACTACATACAGTACGGTCACGATGTATACTGAGTGGTTTTTTCAAATAGGATTTCCGATATTTTCAATCCCATTTTGGGCTTAAGCCGAGATCGGTCCATGCAAGCGCTCACGATGCCATTGGAGGCCACAGTGCCCCTGGACATACTTCTGTTTGGGTTCGTACTCTGCTGTTAGAACCACGCTAATCGATTTATTTCACGTATCCTACCCTTATTGTGTACATTACACTGGTGCTTGAATCTATCAGAAACATCATTTCGTGTTAGTTCATTGCCACTGCATATTGTATTTACAGTCTGTTCGTGTGTATAATGGGAAATTTATTGCGGCCATATATATTGTCAAGTCGGTTCGTAATTGGAGTAGAATCGAATCGACTTGGTAAATCGATTTGACAATGAACTAGCCAATCAAAATCATCCATTCTAAATGAACTAGCCAATCGAAATCCATTATAACCCCCCCATTTACAAGATTTCTGAATGGTTCAGCCAATCAATATGTTGCAGAATATACTCACTGTACTATACTAAATACAACATATATTGCCAAGTTCATTCCAAAATGGTCCAAATTTGCGTGAGAAGGACAATATATTCCGTGGACTTTTGGTTTCCCATGGTGAGGTTGGAAGAACTGTATATGTGCTGCCAGATGAAAAATATTATATGTTTCGTATATGCTGCCATACGATTTAAAAAATATATATATATATTTCCGTCATGCCGTTGCGTGCTCTATGCTGTGGTATTCTCGTCACATGTTTTAAAGTAGTGTAGTCCGTTAGTTTATGCACGATCGAACTCGTTTATTTGTGTCGTATACATACTTCAAGTCTTTAGTAGTATTGTGGTATACTCGATACGAATTTCCAGACCCCGTCGAATCGAATGTCGCCGCTGAATCAAATCACGAATCGACGCTATTGGCTAGTCCAATTTTGAGTGGATTTGATTGGCTCTTGCAGAAAGGACAAGTATATTCAACCCATCAGAACCCAGGCGTGATTCAATAGTGATTAGACGATTAGACCAACCACTCGAGTTTTGGAAATATATACCAAATTCACCATTGTATTGTATACTATTTATTGTCGATTTAACGTGATAGGTTTAATTTTGTAGACACTTTTTGTTTGAAATGGCTGTGGGACGCGAATTGAACGCTGTGGTGCCACGTGAGTCGGATGTTGCTGCACTGCCTGTCGACATTGCCAACGTAATAAAAAGCAAAAGAAAATCCCAACCCTCCAATCCTTGCTAACATGTTAACGAGTATGTCTAGGTGTTGGCGAGTATATTTGGTGTCTCGACTGTTTCACCGTGTTCCGTGGAACACTTGCTGGCGATGCCGCTGTTTGCCGCAGCCCCCCCAATGTATTTATTCGACATATCCGAGGTATTAGTACTCCTATAACGAGATGCCGTGCCTTCGACGTAGCCATCTTTTTTTTATTTTTTAAAAATTATTATTGGTCGTCTATTCTTGATATAATTTATATTTGCATTTTTAAATCAATCCTGCATTTGGTGTGTGTGTAGTTGTTGTCCGAGTGTACATTATACTTAATAGGGTTGAGTTCCAATGACAACAACATAGTAGAGCAATTAACTAGTATCTACTTGGAGGCATTCATTTCGTTGGCTGACTTCTTGCGGGCTTTTTTGTAGTTGTTGTCCGGGATGGCACTGCTTGAATCGAGTAACCAACTGAACGCCGAGAGGCGATCACACCAACTTCGACAATTCCACGTTGCCGCGATTCATGCTGCAAGGACCAATGCAGGCAAAGGCACGGACGGGGGCAAAGAGAAGGCGGTGCTGCCCACTAGTCGGGGGGCCAAGAAGCCGCCGCCTCTGAAGCGCATGTCGTACCGCCGCGCGTCGTCGTCGGTGATGGCCTAGATAGATAGAACTGTATCGCTAGAACTACTCAACGAAAGAAAATTCCATGCCAAAAAGTACCAAGTACAGCTGGCTACCAATACAGTATACGTGTAAGCCATACAAAGTATTGTAGCAAGGCAGTTGTTCCAAATCCTGTGATTACTCGAATACATAGTACTGTACTACCATATATTGACCAAGGTTTTCGCCCGAAATATAGCAACCAAAACTTCCAAGCTTGGGGCTGAGCTTGCGATACGGTATTGACGCAAACGTTCTGTGACATCGTTAGCATCGTACGGTACTAACTAGTACATGATAACTACTACTACTACGTAGTAATCCTACTATTAATCCTGTACCCTCCGAAATGATTGAATTGAAATTACGCGGTATTTACACGCTCGAGCGCGCGCATATGCAGCATCACCCGCGAACTAGACTAATCTAGCGGATGGAGCTTGTACGGGAATGATTGATTGATTTGGCTTTGACCAGCATTCGTTGGCAAAAACACGAACGAGGTAGCTAGCTACTATTAGTAGTATGAACACTCCTTACTACAGTCTGATGCAAAACGTTAAGACACCTATAATTTCACCCATAACTTGATCAAATTGAAGTTGTATTGCAATGTTTTGATATCGAAATCATCGTCATGGCCCCCACAATGACCGTGACTCAAAGTTAGACCACCAACAACTCGCGGAAAAGGCAAGGGGAAAAATATCTGATTCTGATAGTGTGCAAAATGATAAGAACAAACTAAATTCGGCTCAATACTTATCAACCAAGACACAATCACCACAAAAAACAACTATTAGTAGTTAATTGGCTTTCCTGATGACTTCAACACAGCAATACATCGGGACTTCATGCTGCGAATAAGCTTTTCCAGGTATTCAGGATCCATGGCATTCCAGTGCAACAGGATCGCATTTTTCAGCTCCCCCGTTGTGGAATATTGTTTGCCATCAGCATACACTCGTTGGCAAAGGTACCCCCACACGTTTTCAATTGGATTCAGATCGGGGGAAAGCGCGGG